GGGTGCAGTCCCTCAGGAGCAGACGGCTCCAGCGTGGGTCCCCATGGGGTCACCAGCCCGGCCAGCAAACCTGCCCCAGCCTGGGCTCCTCTCCCCATGGGGCCACAGCCCCTGCCAGGAGCCTGCTCCAGCACGGGCTTCCCATGGGTCACAGCCTCCTTTGGTCACATCCCCCTGCTCTGGCGTGGGGTCCTCCCTGGGCTGCAGATGGGGATCTGCTCCCCCGTGGGCCTCCCTGGGCTGCAGGGGCACAGCCTGCCCCACCAGGGGCTGCCCCAGGGGCTGCAGGGGGATCTCTGCTCCGGCGCCTGGAGCACCTCCTGCGGCACTGACCTGGGGGGCTGCAGGGCTGCTCCTCTCTCTCCTCTCTCCCACTACTGTCCCAGGCAGGTCTTTTTCCATCTTAAATATGTTATCGTAGAGGTGCTACCACCATCACTGATGGGCTCGGCCTTGGCCAGCCGCAGACACGGGGAAAACTTCTGGCAGCTTCTGACAGAAGCCACCCCTGTAGCCCCCCGCCACCAAAACCTTGCCACACCAACCCAATACACAGACGTAACAGCACGACTTTGTTTTGCTTCCCTCAACCTGAAGAGCGTTACAAGAATCGTCCTTTTTGCAGGCACGGGGATGGCCTTGGAGCCAAGGGCTGGCTCCGGCTGTGCACTTAGGGTGGCTGGGGACAGCTTCCACCACGGACCCAGGCCTACAAAGTTATGGGGACGCAACTGATTGCCATGGCAGACCGGGAATACGACTGGCGCTAAGAGCCTGTTCCATGCGGGTCCTCTCGGGAGGGCTGTGTTTCCCTACGCTGTCACCCTGCCGCAGTTACCTCCCGCATCTAATTGGTTCCAGAAGATGCTGGTGTGTTTGTGTGTGTTGAGATGTTCAATTACGGCTGTTGGTTTGACCTTCCTTCGCTAGCTGGGGGTGTTTGAGGAGGGCTTTCTATGCAGTGTCTCCCTTCTCGGTCTCCAAAGGACTTGAACTGCTCGTGTTCTACCTCTGCCTTATTTTTGCTGTCATTCGTTACAGCGTGGTGAAGATCCTGCTCGCAGCTAATGCAGATCCAAACCTCGGAGATGATTTCAGCAGCGTGTATGAGACTGCCAAGGAAAAAGGCCTCCATTCTTTGGAAGGTAATATTGATTGTGTGCAGCTACCTGCATTTGCTTCTCGGGTCCCAAAATTGTGTTTCCTGGCTTTGAAGGGGAAATTTGACCTCGTTTGGGTTTGGTTTTTTTTTAAGAGCTAGCTTCAGCTTCCATTTATATGCAGAGTAACTGATGGTACATGGGTGAGAGCAGGTCTGAAGGTGAGAGAAAACAGGACGTAGATGTCTATGAGCCTCCTTCGCCATCCTAGAGACAAGCTCTTTTTACATAGCCGGAACACAATGCGAAGTTGTAGCTAGGAGCCTCATCCCATCGGCTCGCATGCAGGAGAAGGGTCCAAGGCAGCGTATTCCCCCAGTAGCCTCACTCGAGAGCTTGCCAGTAGGTGTAAGATGAAGAAAGACTTGTCCAGTTGAAACAAAGCTGAGAGATGTAACTGGTTGCAATTAGTGCTGCTGGTTCTCCGGCAGGCGTTAATGCTGTCAGCTGTCAGCCCTCCCAGGCTTTGCGTGAGAACGAGGACATTTTCTGCAGTGTCATTTCATAGAATCACGGAATCATTTGGGCTGGAAAAGCCCTTTAAGCTCCCCCAGCCCAACCGTTCCCCTACCCCTGCCATCCCACCCCCAAACCCTGGCCCTCAGCACCGCCTCTGCCCGGCTGTTAAATCCCCCCAGGGCTGGGGACTCGACCCCTTCCCTGGGCAGCCCCTTCCAGGGCTTGTTATGATTTTTCTTGGCCGATGTCTCAAGTTCCAGTCTCGCCCTAACGTTATCCTCATTGCTGGGATGTTGCTGGAGACTTAGAGTCACGGAATGGGTTGGGTGGGAAGGGACCTTTAAAGATCCCTGAGCAGGGACATCTTCAACGGGATCAGACCTGCTCTGGTTATTCAGACCATTTTACGTTTCCCAGGCTGTTTCTACTTCTTTTCATAGAATCATAGAATCACAGAATGGTTTGGGTGGGAAGGGACCCCTAGAGGTCACCCAGCCCAACCCCCCTGCAGGAGCAGGGACACCTTGAACCACATCAGGTTGCTCACAGCCCCGGCCAACCTGGCCTGGAATGTTCCCACCTCACATTAACGCACCCTCTCTGGGCAACCCCTGCCAGGGTTTCACCACCCTCACTGGAAAAAATTTCTGCCTTATATCTAGTCTAAACCTCCCCTGGTTTAGTTTAAAACCATTATCCCTTGTCCTAACAAGGACAAGGGTTTTTTATTTTTGACGATAAACAGTGGTTAAATTTTCCTGGGTTTGTGATTTATCGATGGAATTGCAGAGGCGAAATGTCTGGATTCTCGGTGCCCAGCTGGCATCTCGAGGGTGCCCTGGTCCCCAGGCTTGCAGCTCCTGGGCTGGCAGGGCAATGCTGGCAGGACTTCACCCCGCTAAAATGTCCCCGGCTGCTGCCTTCCCCCTTCCAGAAGCCTCTTCCCCACTGGAGCGCTGCCGCTGAGCTGGCGGCCTCGGGTCTGAG